CCCACTGCAGAATTTTTATTTTGCAAGTATTTAAATTATGAAACCTCTCTGCGAAAGATTTTAAATTATGAAGCCGCTTCTGCGAAAGATTTTCAATTAAATGTATGTATTTGTACAGACACAAGACTAGGAAACCTATGTCCTAGTTTTCATAAAAAATTGGAAATAGATTTCCACAAAATCCGACATTTCATATTATACGAACTAACATATTTATGAAACGTCGATACAGTTGAAACAGAAACGTATTTCCTTTTTAAACTTCATTCATTCGTTCGTTCGTTCGTTCGTTCATTCGTTCGTTTATCATTTCCAATTTCCAGTAGTATTTGAATCGACATTGGACGACGTGTACCCGATGATACGTCTACTCTCGTCGCGTCTATGTGTGTATGCGTGCGTGTTTTTTTTCTCTCCTTTCTTTTTTCACCGAGAAATTCCCTGCACTTGCCGTCTCCCGGCAGACGGTGCGCCTCGCGCCATAACGTCGGAGTTGTCGGATCCGCATGTTATGTACGGGCTGTGTCAATGTAACGCGGTATAGTAAGGTATGGCGTATAAGACAGATGTTGGTCAAGAAACAAATAAAAGAGGAAAAGTGGTCGACGTCGGACTGGTAGCTTAAAAGCAGTGGCAAAATCTGACCGGCGCGATGTTGCTGCCGTTACTCGCTTCGCTGTAAATACGCCCGGGAGACTTGGGCAAAATGTAATAGTTGGTTCGACTCTAAATTTACTTCTTTTTAGAATTGATATTGTTAACCCATTTGCATCATTAAGCGGAATAATCTGCGCACGATGATTATTCCTTATCACCAAGAGCGGAATATTCCGCACACAATTACGTTTAGTTGTCTACGACTTACTCGGCTTTTTCGGTCGGAACAGATTAATCTCAGTTGAAAGCTTGAAAGACTTGAGCATCTGCGATTTATAAAGTAAGCTTCGCATTTTGAGCGAAGATGTAAATTGGTTAATTGAACTTGATTTGATCAGTTTTGAATTTTTTAAAGACTTTATCAGTAATACTAGAACCACCGAGCACTGAAACTGTCTTTCTAAAATTTCTTTATAAAAGTTATAAGCGTGAATTTATTAACATACTGCATACTGGTAACGAGAAATCCCGTTTTTGTATAAAGACACCTATTTATGTAACTTTGCTACTTATCATGGCACTTAAAAAAATATTAAATTTTATTGGAACTGATTATTTATATAAAATATATTACATAATAATATGATATTTGAGTTGTTCTGTGTATAGCGATGTAAATTGATTTCACTGAAAATCGCCATTTGTACAGTTCAGTTTACTGGAAATTAGCCGGAACGCAATGTGTTAAAATTTCAATTAGTTGATATTTCAGTTTAAGTATTGATGAATCAGCTTCTTTAATCATTTCTTACAGAAGTACCTATATCCTTGCAGTAATGCTAAAAGAAGAAATTAGGAATTGGTCATTTTGACTCACCTAGTAGTTCTAGTGTTGAAACACTTTGTTGGTTCTTAACTTTTTATATTTAAAGTAAATTTCATTATAATCGGGTTTGTGGTACCACGAAATAATAAAAAGTTTTTCGTGAAAATTGCAATAATAATAAAAATGACTTTAAAGATTTACTGTTGTATGCACTTTATATGTTCTTTGGTATAGAAGTTTTACCTATACATAAATACATATACTATTATATATAATTAATTACACTATAATGATTATTTGACTTTGCATCTAAAAGGAAATTTTCAAAATTAATATAAAACTATTGTATCACTTTTTTCTACTTTTTGTTTTCTGGAGCTCATCGATTTGTCCAATGAGTGGCTCAATTGTTACTGATGCTGCATGCTGCTGCCATTAAAATTGAGGCAT